TGAATCAGCCAGAGCAGTAGCGTATCGTCGGGTGTCGCCGCACGGCACAAGAAACTTCAAAAAAGAAAACCGCGTGCGTCTGCCCACAGAAGGCGTCCAAATGCATTCCTTTTCTCTTCGTAGTATATGGATGAATCTTTCCCGTTTTCTGTGGGCAGATGCATTCGCCGTCTGTTCTTTTCCGTGTCGTGTGCCGTGCGGGGACGTCCATCTTCATCACGATCATCACGATCAAATGCCATCGATACACACACACACGAAAAAAAAAAAAAGAAAAAAAAAAGAAAAATGTTTTGGAACCCTCGGCGACTCTTCGGTGAAATCTCTTGGAGGATCTGATTTGCTGCGACTGTTGTTGGGTATACATGACACGTGGAGCCTCGCTCCATTTCTCTCGAAATGTGCAAACCGACAGTGAATCTTCCGCTAGATCGTGGAAAGATACATCCCCATGATTTTTGTCGAGAGTAGTGGAAGGAGGCCCATGTATATGCATGCTGCCATCCTGTCAAGCGACTACCCGTCTTCATCCGAATGCAGTGTACTGTCATTATTGCTGTATCTAGACTCGAAGTTGTCCCAAGTACGTACAGCTATAATGACCGTACATTGTATCCGGGGGTGGTGACGACTAGTCTTTTTTTTTTCTCTTGAAGAAAAGTTGCAGTGCACCCGATCGGGTTTCCTTTGCAGTGATTTACTCGTTTTTGCTTCCACGTGAGTTCGAACTCAGGTCTGTATCTAGACTGAAAGTTGCCCAAATGCAGCGTCAGTGCACCCGATCGGGTTTCCTTTGCAGTGATTGACTCATTTTTGCTTCCACGTGAGTTCGAACTCTCGTCTGTATCTAGACTGAAAGTTGCCCCAAATGCAGCTTCAATGCACCCGGTCGGGTGACCAACAGTTCATGGGTGTACCGACTGAGTTTATAGGCCAGTTGGTCAATCGGGTTTACCCATCGCTTATGTCACTAACTGTTTTTTGTTAATTGACGACCAACTTGACCCGAAGAGAACCTAGGGGGATTAGCGCTGTACCTAGTCTGAAAGTTGCACCAAATGCAGCTTCAGTGATCGTTTGTTCTGTTAAGTAAGTTGAGAAAGAATTCATAAATGATTTCAATAGAAAAGATCAATCAAGCATTGGGTGCGAAATGACGTCCATTCATGGTGACAATTGGTTGTAGATTTGAGCTGCCGACTGGCGCTGAAGGATATATACATCGATCATATATATCGTCAAATAGAACTGCCCGGTAAACCGTAGGCAGAGAGGGAGAAGAGGACAACAAACGAGGGTCACAGCCCCTCGTTTGTTGTCCTCTTCTCTCTCTCTGCCTACGGTTTACCGGGCAGTTCTGTTTGTGACGATATATATATATGTATATATATGTGACGATATATATATATTGTCACAAAATATCAGAGCGCAAATGCGAAAAAAAGGAAAGAAAAAAGGAGAAAAGAAAAGTGAACTCAATTTTTTATCTTCTTCCTTTTAACTCTATATATATAATATACTGTTTTGATGGGATGGTTCGTGCTAGCCGTCCTGCAGAATGCTGTGCTGGCGCAGCTCTCCTTGGGCATCCTTGTGAACATCCACATCATCCTCACCGTAGCTGTCCTATCTGCCGAGGTGGGGGCAGGTAAAGA